ATCTTGAGATACGCATAAGTGGATTTTTCGTAGGCGTAAGTTAGTACAAGTATTTTTCTTTTCTTTTTAATTATTTAAAAAAGAGAAAAAAAAAAGAATTTAATTTTGAGTATATGTGTTAAATAGCATATATTATTGTCCTGCAGAATACAGATTTTGAAATCTTCATAATACAGATCGGTGATAAAAAGAAGATTCTTCCAAATTTCGATGGACACAATTGTGTAATACGAATTTTTAATAATCGAAAATATGTGTATGTGTGATATGTGACATAAGCCCATATCTCAGAACAAATATGACAGCCAAAAATAAATACTATATATCATATATAATTAATTTATTAATTTTAAGTTTTAACCCGCCATTAGAAGATTTGAAGGCTAGACAAGACTTGTTAAAATCTTTTTGTATGGGCCCGTCCATGCCTTTGTCTTCTTCATTAATGAGGTTGACTAATTTCGATTATCATAAAAAGTTTACATTTCCAAAAACATTTTGAGTAGTAGTAGTAATTCGGACTTGAGCATGTCAAATTATTGATTTTATCAAAATCATAAGATCTTTTATCATCCCAGTCTTAAACGCGTTTATCAAAATCATGTTTGGATCTAGACGATATGTGGAACACTATTAGAAAATAATATCCCATATCGAAACATCGGAAATTGAAAAATTGGAAGAAATCTTAAACAATATACTATATGTTTTATGAATATATACATAAGATCTTTTATGCATGTATTGACTTTTGTGCATTGTGATATATCTCTAATTGAGAGTCAGTTGGACACATCGCGGTTTCCTGTTCTCTCATAAAAGATTGAACTGAATCATCAAACATAATTAGCATAAGTATATATCACAATTATTGATTTTATTAAAGTAGTCACTTAAATGCAGGATTTGAAGTCGTTGATATATATATTTAAATCTTGTGGTTTGGTCATAAAAGAACTGCACCAAAGGCGAAAAACTAAAGATCGAGAGCAACGAGTTTTGGAGTTTCCGAGTGATTTTGGGATTATGGAGGAACAAAGAGTGGAAAGCTCTAAGAGGCTATTTCGAGGTGTTGTAGCAGATATCAAAGGAAGAGCTTTGTGTTACAAGCAAGATTGGATCTCTGGTCTTCGTTCTGGTTTCGGGTACTTAACATGTTTTCACTCTTGAAACACTCTTATTGACACAGAAAAGAGGAACAAAATTGTGTATTAATTTTTGAAGAGATTTTGTAGGATTTTAACACCGACGACATATATTTTCTTCGCCTCTGCGCTTCCGGTTATCGCCTTTGGCGAGCAACTTAGCCGCGACACAGGTCTATCTTTTCTTAGTTTGAACTCTCAATGTTTGCTTTTTTATTCACTTTTAGAGTTTACTCTCTTAAAATAGAATCAGTGTTTGAAATCGTGTTAGGCGCTTCTTTATCACGTTAAGTGTCTACTGTTTGTTTTAAAACTGCATAAACCACCACATAATATAACATCGGGACTAATGGCCACGACTAGCGTCCATGCCCCGCTTATGCGAGCGCGTTACAGAGACACAATTTAGTGGAACAAAAGTCTTCAAACCATAAAATCTTGTACATGAATAAATATTTATAAATATCTTATTATAAAAAAGATTATGCGTAACCAAAATTCTAATTCACCAGATCGCGACATGTGTCAAAAATTGAAATTATGGCATGTATTAACACTTAAAATTAATTAAGAAAATATAAAATTAAAAATAGAAAATAGACAAAATAATTATCAAATAACTAACCAAATAGTAAAAAGTAAAATTTCTTATAGTTCAAACTAGTTAGAAAAAGAAAAATTCCTAATAATCCAAACTAGCTAGATAAAAAAAATATAACAGTTCAAAATAATTATAAAATGAATTAAAAAAGAAAATAGAGAGTATAAACCGTAGAAAGTAAAAAGTGGAGAGAAAATGAAATTTTTAATTAAGAAAAAATAAATGTGGATGATAAAACAAAAAATATTATATAAATTGAAAAACAAAAAAATTAAAAAAGATATGAAAATCTCAATTTAAAAATTTAAGATATGCACAACCATGCATACAAAAAACAAAAAAAAAAATCTATAAACATATTTATTTTGTCAACAAAGTTATAGAATATCAAAAAGAGAAACAAAATCTATAACCTATCATGGTATTGGTATATTTCAATGTAAAAAAACAAATTATAGAAAATGAAAATTATACATGTTAAAAGTAATAATAATATATTTGCTTTAAGATCCAAAAGTATTGCAGGTTTGATGAGTATAGATCTATATAAGAAAGAAACCAATGACATCTACGGTATACATTTATCAATTATGGATTTATGTATGATGCTTGATAAAACTATTTATAAAATATTCTATAGGTTTTTATGAGATTCACATGAATTTTTTTGTTTGATTTAACTCTATATTATATTTTTTTTTTACAATTTTATCATATAATTAATATATTCATAATGGGTAAACATGTTTTTTTCACTTATTTATATACGGGTCTGCATGATATGAATTACGACATGCAAATTAAAATATAAATTGATCTCTAATTATTCAAGACCCATGTTTAAATAATATTTCAAAATATGTTTATAATTCACTGGGTTACTAACTATAACTTAAATATGTAATTAATAAATAATATTTCAAAATATGTTTGTAATTCACTGGATTACTAACTAAAACTTAAATATGTTTGTATCAACGCGGGTCCTAATCTAGTTCAATATAAATGACTACCCTTTTTTTTTAAACAGCATAAACCACCACATAATATAAAATCAGGGTGAATGGCCACAAATAGCGTCCATGCAGGGCCGGCCTCGAAAAAATTGGGGCCATAAACAAAATAAAAAATGAGGCGAGTCATATCCAAAAATTTCTGAAGAAAAACCGTAAAAAAAGACATGTAAGCGAGAGGTAGAAGAGAACAATTAATATAGAGAAATTTCAAAAAATGCCACTTTTCAAGTGGCACTTTACAAAAATGCCACACTTTTGAAATCTTTACAAAAATGCCACTTTTTCAAAATTATTTTTTCTTTATATTATTTATGTTTGGGTTAATTATGCTCTATTAGGGTTTAGTTTTGAGTGTTTAGAGGGTTTTAGGTGTCAAAACATTTTTTAGGGTTTAGAATTTTAAGATATATGCTTTATAAATCTATAATTAGTGGCATTTTTGTAAATAGACACCTCTAAATGGTATTCTTGCAAATGTACACACAAAAAATAACATTTTTGTAATTGTCCCATTAATATAAACAAAAAATCTTTTGGGCTGTTGATTTAATGATTTATTTTAGTCCATACAATTGAGAAAAAAATCTAAAACTCGGCCATATGGTACATACAATTGAGAAAAAGCCTAAAACTCGGCCATATGGTATATGTATTCTTCTTAACTAAATGAGCCAATTAAATTTTGGGGCCAAAGCAAATGTATCATTGAGCTATGGCAAAGGCCGGCCATGCTTCCATGCGCCGCCTATGCGGGCGCCTAGGACACATTTAGTGGGAACAAAAGTCTTCAAGTTGCACAAATTTAGTCTGCTTTTTTAGTTTTGCATTTTGTGATTTCAAGAGAAAATCCAATTAAACAATATTTGGTGAGATTACAGAGGGAACGTTGAGCACAGTAGAAACGTTAAAATCAACAGCATTATGTGGAGTGATACATTCCATCTTGGGAGGACAACCATTGTTGATAGTTGGAGTTGCAGAACCAACTGTCTTAATGTACATTTACGTGTACAACTTCGCTGAAGGAAGACCAGAACTAGGCAAACAACTCTACTTAGCTTGGGTTGCTTGGTAATTACTCCAAAACTCTCTTCTTCTTCGTTTTTAATTATTTTTTGCTATGAAGTTATGGTTTTGTTGGTTGTTATAAATTGAAGGGTTTGTGTGTGGACGGCTTTGTTACTGTTCCTAATGGCGATATTCAACGCGGCTGATATCATTAACCGGTTCACGAGGATCGCTGGTGAGCTGTTTGGTATGTTGATCTCTGTTCTGTTCATCCAACAAGCCATTAAGGTATATATAAATACCAAATAGCTCAACCACCTTTTGAATTATGATGATATTATATATAGAGATATGTTTTGACGAATGAAACCGGTAGGGAATCGTGAGCGAATTTGGGTTGCCGAAAAATGAGGACTCAAATCTTGAAAAGTATCAGTTTGAGTGGCTTTACACAAATGGACTTCTCGGCCTCGTTTTCACCTTTGGCCTTCTCTACACCTCTTTGAAGAGCAGAAAAGCGAGGTCTTGGCGATACGGAACAGGTAAGAGAAATAATTTTCTTGTCAAACGTTTAGTGTAAAATCAAAAATCAGGTCTTAAAAACTCTTGAGTTCTTGAAATAGGATGGTACAGAAGCTTCATCGCCGACTACGGAGTTCCTTTGATGGTTGTGGTTTGGACAGCATTATCGTTCAGTACGCCATCTAAACTCCCTTCTGGTGTCCCGAGAAGACTCTTTAGTCCTCTTCCATGGGACTCTGCTTCTTTATCACATTGGACTGTCATCAAGGTTACAACACAGAAACACTAGCTATACATTTAAAATATTGATTCCATCATTTAAGACCAGTCTTTGTTCTGTACAGGACATGGGGAAAGTCTCTCCGGGGTACATTTTTGCAGCGTTTATACCCGCATTGATGATCGCAGGTCTCTACTTCTTTGACCACACTGTTGCCTCGCAGCTTGCGCAGCAAAAGGAGTTCAACCTCAAAAACCCTTCTGCGTATCACTATGACATTCTCTTGTTAGGTTTCATGGTAATGCATCAAACTCCCTCTCTTAATTTCTTTGCACAAAACATTGACTCTCTAGTTAAAATATCCAAAACGGTTTGGTTTTTCAGACATTAGTCTGTGGATTGCTCGGTCTGCCTCCGTCCAACGGAGTCCTCCCTCAGTCTCCTATGCATACTAAAAGCCTCGCTGTTCTCAAACGACAGGTAAAACATGTTGGAATACTCACATATCAAGTGAAATTCAACACTAGTACAAAAAATATTATACGCTTT